TATAATATATATATATATATATATATATATATATATATATATATATAATAATAATAATAATAAAATAATATAATAATAAAACAATATATATATATATATATATGTGTGTGTGTGTGTGTGTACATATAAACACAAACACGTCTATACATTCCGCCTATACATTCATCCCCCGCTAAACTCCTTCTTAACCGCATACAAATATGATATGGACAGAAATCAATAACAGTAACCAATATTTTGCAACAGTAACCAATGTTTTGACAGCGAAAACTATCACCTCGCCCAAATATAGGCAATAATCTATAACCAGTTATTCTCACACCTTCTTATCCCTGACTGGGTGCAGGGTGAGCAAATTCTGAAACTCATCGCCGTTCTTTTTATAATTTGTAATGGACACTTTGCATAGTGTGCCGTTCCGAACGCTCTCTCTGAGTTTCGCTACGGATTCGGGTTCAGTGTTTGGCCCCTGAAATTTGTATCATGAACGGTTGTACGCACGTATCAGTGAGTATGTATGTATGTTTCGGTGTATTGGTACGGTTTAAAAGCCAATCCACGCAAGTTACTTTGATGCTGTCTGGATATGTGCATGTGTAGACTCGTGCTATGTGCAGGTGAAAGTGTGTACTATCATTCTATGTTTGTCCACGTGCGTCATTGAGCGGAAAATGGTATTCCCACATTTATATGTCTACTATACTGTCCAGTATTGAGGCGCGCTATGTGTAGCTATAGGCAAACGAAAGCATTCCTAAAGGCATCGTTGATATACATTAACATGCAACCGGACACATAGCAATATATTGGACAAGCGAGTACTCAGGGATACTTTGGAGTGAGCGTGCATATGGACGAAACTATGTGTATAAACCAGAATAAGCACACACCTAAACAATCGTACACAAAACTACAGATATTCTCAACAAGGATTAAATGTGATCCCATGTCCTTCGTACTCAGGAAAGTCGCAAATCGTACATACTATTTTCGATTGACGTTTTCATCCATCTGACGTGTGTCACAATCTGGCATTTACATGACACGGCAAACCTTGGATACACACAAATACAACTCTTACGGACACGTGGCCATGCAAACCCAAACATATTATCTCATCTCTCGCCACATTCATGATATATTTCTCACAAAATATATCAGTATGTAATCAGGTACATGTACACGCACAACGTCACCAACCTGTAAGAACCTGCAGTTGCGGCCCACTGTCTCCGCGTGTGTATAGCCCGTGCATGTAGTGTACGCGGGATTGACAAAACTCAGCGGAAACAAGCCTTGATCAGTAGGATTCTTCACCTAATATGACCAAGAGAGGAGAAATTATCCGAACAATATCAAATACAAATATA